TCAGGTACCCGATTTTAAACTAATTACTACCTGATTACCACCTGATTTATGCATATTTTTGTACCAAAAATTTGGTATAAAAATATGCATAAATCAGGTGGTAATCAGGTAGTAATCAGTTTAAAATCAGGTACCTGATTTGTGCCTGATTTTTATCTTTCGACCTGTGTAATTATAAGCAAATTGTGATTATATATAGGTATTTTATAAATAAAAATTTGAATTAAAAATTTATGTGATCATATAAAGGTTGTGATTGTATAGGAAGTGATTATAGAGGAGGAGAATAGTACTTATATACTAAGTCAATTTGTTTAAATGTTAATTTTGGGATAATATATTATAATTGGCTAGCATTATTGTTTAATGCTGGTCTTGCTCCAATGCATTTGACTCTAAATTTAGTTTATATAAAAAAAATATTTATTATGTGAACTCTTAGCCACATTAACTAGCTAACAGTTTTATATTGGCTGGTTTAACCGGCTAAGCTAGTTTAGCAGTAGCTACTTCAGCCAGCTTAAAACACTAAATTAGTGTTGATAAGCATTTTGAATTTTTTTTAAAAACTTTGAATGAAGATATTTCAGCAATTACAAAGTCAAATCCGTGAAATATTTTTTTTATTTCAATTCTATAAATCACAGAATTCAAATAAAAGAAAGTCATTGAATTTGGCCTAGTAGTTACTAATATATCTTTGTTTATAGTACAATTTGTTTTGATAGGCGATTTGAAACTTTGAACAAAGAACTACCTCGATGAACTTTTTTTTGGTCCAATTCTATAATTCATAGTATTCAAATAAAAAAACTCATCGAATTTGGCCCAGTAGTTGCTAGGATATCTTCGCTCAAAGCTTAAAGAATATTTTTACTTATAGAAGTATAAATAATAAGTTTGGGTACAAAAAATAGTTCCCTATTTTTTATGATAAATCAGAGTAACTAACACAATGCTTTGTCTTCAAAAGGTATTAATATCAACTTATGAAAATAGCAATGCTACTTGCTCAGAAATAAGTAATACAATATTTAATTCTCATGCATCTTGTTATACTAATTCTGGTATATGCTTTCTTCTAATGGCTGATTGGATTGTCATATTCAAAACTATCAATCTCAAAAATATATTCGGAAGCAAGTAGGCTTATTATTATTATATTATATATAATAAGCATGGCAGATATTTGTTTTAATTGGTCAAAAAATGTAAACAAGTAAACAATATGCATAATGTAGATCATTATATAAATTTAGATATACGGTTATACATATAAAGATTACTTGCATTTGAAATTTTCTGGAAAACTACTTACAACTAATAATGCTGCCTGAAACTATTTTGGCCCAATGATTGAAACCGAAACTCCAACACTCTGCTCAAAACTATGCCAAAATTCCAAAACTAGTTTATATAGCATAAGACAAATCTGTCTTATACTTAATTTAGCATCCTGGCAACCAATTTTTTAATGATCGCTTTTCCAACACCAATCAACTGTTTTATCAACAAACTCTTCTCTAAAAACTATTTCTCAACAACTAAATATCTATCCACAACACAGCTACTTATTTGACAACTATCTAACTGGCATTCACATGACAATTATCCTATCTTTAATAACTACCTTTTCACTTCTTCCCCCAAACCACCAATCGCTTTATTAACTCAAATATTTTCCGACAATAACCCACCTCTATAATTCCAAACACACTACTAACATATTTCTCTACTATAATTATTTTCTAGCGTATTTAAGTATTAATAAATAAATAATTAATTAATTATATTTAAAAAAATCTCAGTTAAATTAAAGTTAAATAATTGAAAAATTTAAAATCTTGCTAGCCAATCAAAATTTTAAGATCACATGTAATTTATTGAGTTAAATTACGTGTGATCTTAAAATTTTATTAGCTGAAGAAATAAAAAATGATTTTTAACGATATCTTTTTTTTTAATTCAATTTTTAATATAAACTTTTTTTTTATTAATTTATTTATTTTTTATTAGATATTAGTTACGAAAGTTGGGTAGTAAATAGCTGTAAGCTATATTCATTAGTTTTATATCAACGCTCTTTATTTTTAACTATAACATTATAATCATATTCAGTCTCAAGAAGTTGTTCAAAATTATTAGAAAAACATTCAAGTAATTTAGTCTTTATTTGCGATATTTGTAAGTTTAAAGATATAATTATTACGTTTATGCAGAATTTTTACTTTTTAAGAATAGTGTGTTAACGAAGTAATAGTACAGGGAAGGTGGTATTGAGGAAGAGTAATGCTAAGAAAAGATAATGTTGGTGTTGAGGAAAGAAGAAGGGTGGTATAGGGTGGTATTGGGGAAGGGTGGTGTTAGGAAAGGGTTGTTATTGGAAAAAAGAAAGATATGTTAGTTATGGTTCAGCTAGGAGGGCAATGTCCGAAACTATAAAGTTTCAGGCCTGTATGTTAGTGATTGATTCATTATACCTTTTTATTATATAATTAACTTTACCTCTATGTCTTAAAACTATTGTATTATCTAGTTTAATTTCTAGAAATCTAGTTAAATCTTCAAGTGCTTCATCATATTTGCCATAATAAAATAACAAGCATATTTTTATATTCACCTACACTGGTCAAAATTTTTTTATATGATAGGACGATATGAAGGCGATATATAAAAAAACAACCAACCAAAAATTGGCTATAAGATATAAAACTGGTCGATAAAATCTTACAAATATCGGCCTACCGATATTATAATAATTAATAAAATATTAAATAGTAATCCAAAGAAAAGAAGATAGAAAGGCGATACGATTAAACAATA